GTATTATATTACTGCATTTGGCCCACTGCCCTGGATAGATTTTCATTTTGGCCCTCTCGGGGAAAATGTTTGGGCGCCCCTGTTTTAGATCAATTTTAAATCTAATAAATGTATGATTCAGTGCAGTTGTTCTTTTACATCATGCAGAGTTTCTCCTTTATAGGGCAACACTGCACCCCCGCCCTTGGATGTCCAGCCCCTGAGCTATTGGCTTTTAGAAACCAGAGCGATTTATTTAAATAGCCGTGCTGTAGTCCATTTAAACAAGCCTCTTCAAACAATGCGGCGAATTAAAAGGTTTTATCACTGACATGATCTTCGTGTCAGAAAAGCACCTTCGCAAATYTCCAATCAAAACTATCAGTCAGGACGCGAAAAACGACATCATAATGAAATACTCAGAAGTACGTGTCGTAACTTTTGATGCTTTATGAGAAATCAAATGTAGGTTCCAGCTACCTGCAAGTACAAGGTGTGTTCACTTTTACACTCGCAGACTTTTTCGTTGAAACGTTGGCTTGCCCATCAAGCCCCAAGGGATTTCCTTGAAGTTGGTGCTCGAGATTGTATGCTCAAAATAATTAATTACGTTAAACAGTATATAAACCTTTTAAAGATATCACAAATAAGAGTAAAATAAACTCATGAAAACAATAAACCCAACTGTAGAAAAGTAAAAAAAATAATAGAATCTGCCCTCAGTAGTGGGGGTGTGGAGCTTAATGTTTCTTCAGACGCTCCTTCGACGCCTTCAATTAGCACCAGTTTTATTTTTAGAGCATTGAAATCTGCATGCTATTAGCATCAGACACACCATCCCTCACACATGCACACAGACTCGTACGGAAAGTGTTTCTCTGTGTTTCCATGGAAACAGCACAATGAGACCACCAAGGAGCTGGATGGCGATTGTTTCTGAGGACCGGCGAGGTTTTCCCTGCTGACAAACAAGATAACAAGCTAATCAGTTCATGTGACACACTTCAGAAAGCAAATGTTTGGGAGCACAACGTTGCTTTTTTAATATACTTAAGAGAGTTCTGATATTTTTTTTATTTGTCATTTTTTTACCTTTATATTCACAAGTCAAAAAATAGAATGAATGTAGAAAATAGAAAATAGACATTCTTTAAATTCTTGACAAGAACAGAAGGCATAGATCTTCACTTTTTATACATGCAGCATTATCAAAATAAATAAAAAAACAGCAGCGTCTTTCCTATACTTTTCCAAAGAAAATCTCCAATGAAATTCTAAACAAACATAACTTATAAAGAGAAGAAACTGACTTTAAAATAGGAAAAGAGTATTTCTGAATAAAATTGTGACAAGCTCTTCCAGCATCCATTCTGTTTTTGTAAAACATGTAAAAAAAAGTCTTGTTTGAATTTTTAGGCCCCTTGAAGATGTGCAGTGCTCCACGTTGAAAACTGATTTTATGCCTGTTTTTTTATTATTGGCTGTTAAAACTCACGTCCTCACAAGCACAAGTTWAAAAAAAACCTGCAAAACTGTGACACAAACAGATAATTGAGAAAAGAGAATTAAAGAAAAAAACTATCTAAACTTAGCAAAAAATAGTGTGGAAATTTATGTTTGGTAGATTATTTATTTGTTGCTATGCTTCTTGACCAATAAATAAATAAATAAATAAACTTATACCAGGCATCTCATTGGTAAAACAAGCATCATTAGAAACAGTAAAATAAGTTGTTTTACAGAGAAGATTCRGCAGAATTTTCACGAGTGCAACCCACATCCTCAGCTCTGCTCCCACAAAAGCATGATCCTTACAAATGCGGCACCATTTAAAAGGGAAAATAACAGGTTCACCAACAGTTTAAGAAGTATCTACCAAACACAAATTTCCTTATTTTTGTACCAAGTTAAAATTTCTAGCATAAGTTTGCTAACCTTTTTAT